GAAACCTACCTAGTTTCATTCTTTCTATTAAGCTAACTTTGCTATACTTTTTATTCTGCTCAGATAGCAAATTTCTTCAAAGAATATATCAAGGAGAATTTTTAAAAGGGAATCTTTCTGCGATTTCTGGTTTCTACAACAGTTTCCTTACTGAGAAGATCTGGATGATTTCTAAGAACAATGCCAGCTTTATGTCACGAAATGACATTTTGTAATAATTGGAATTGTTACTCAAACCCAGAGAAGAGAGGTGACTAATAAAAAAGATTCCTCTCAAGTTATTTTATATTACTCATTGCATTGTATAGAAATACATATACACAAATGTGTCCAAACGCCCCAGTTGACCCTTGTTCAGCACTATTTTTGTGGAAGCCAAGTGCACTGTGTGGAAGAAATTAATCTGCATCATGTAATTGCAGATATTTTTCAAAAAGGCAATCCAAAAACTACATTTCCATCTGAAAATTAGCTGTACTAAAATGAATTTAGGAAACACAACTTTATTTTCTCTTTCAATATCTGTACTTCCAAACAACTATGATCTAAGCTATATTATGACAACTTTACAAGGTGTTTCCTTAATAAAGTTAGGAGGAGATTAATTCTTTATAAATTATCTCTTAGCTGTTATATAAAAATATTTCTTTTTTTAAACTAACATTATATTATGGAAAATTTCAAGCATATGTAAAAGTAGAGAGTAATGAGCTCTACTCCCATGTACCCAGCTAATCAGTAAATAATAGCCAGTTGTCTTTCTTCTTTGTGCTCACACACTTGTGACCCCTCATTGATTATTTCAAATTATAAATTTTTAAAAAACCATTACCTCCTTAATATTGTCAAGTAGAGAGTCATTTTCAAAATTTTCTCATTTGTCTCTTGGTTTTTGTGGTTTTTTTTGATACAATGGTTTATTTAATCTATAACTAAACAAAATTCATGGATTGTATTTGGTGATATAACACTTAAGGCTCTTAATTTGTACTTTATCTCTTTTATTTCTTTCTACTGAATAGCTGAAGAAACTGGGCTTTTGTCCGGTAGTTTCTTGTTGTCTGGATTTTTTTCTGATTGACTGCATCTTCCTGGTATCATTTGATATACTCTTCTCTCACTTTGTTTCCTGAAATCTGGTAGTTAGACACAGAATAAACTGTTCTTCCTTCCTTTTGGTTTTTTTTTTACAGAACATTTTGTTAGTGTATTCGGTGCTTTCATCACAAAGCACATATTTTGATTATCTCCCTTCGTGTGACTTAGTGGTCATTGATGATCATTGTCTAGATCTAATATTGCCTTTGGGGTTTGCAAAATGATATTTTAAAATTTCATCATTTTAAATAAATTAGGTTGAGTGGACACATATGGAGAATAATTTTCCCTCAACTATTTAGCTATTCTGAATTATATTTCATATAGGAAAGATAGATTAAATGTTTAAGTTTTCCCTTCATTTGTCAGTTTTCAGAATATAATTATAACATTTACTAAGGTAACCACTAAATTTTTCTTGTTAGCATCCTTATGAACTTATTAATTTTGATGCTAGATGCATTTCAATATCTTCCACATTTCTCTATTTTGCTTGTCTTACACTGCATTGTAGAGATCATTCCATTGCATTTTAAAATAATAGTTCTTTTTTTTTCACAGCTGCATACATTTCCATTGTGTGGATTTATCATATATTATTCAATTAATATTCTCCTGATGAACATTAGACTTTACAGTATTTTTATAATATAAAAGTGCTACACTGAATGTGGATGTGTAAATTAATTCATGTCAAATGTGTCACTGGTAAAGAGATCTAGAAATAAAATTCCTGAGACAAAGGGCAAATATATATATATAATTTTGCTAGATACTGCCAAATGTCCCTTCATTGGTATTGTGCCATTATGAGTACATTTTTAATTGCATAAGGAAAGATTATACACATTTATATAAAGTTTAAAGACTAAGTATGATCTAATGTCAACAGAAAAAGAATTATCTAAACTATGAATTACATTTTTATTTAAGCAACTTTTCCTATTAACAATTATTTGTTTATATAGTAACTTTGTCTTGATGGAAGCTTCTATTACAAGGTAATATTTACTAAATATAATCCACTCAATTATATAATGCAAAGTAATCAATATTCAAACACATTCTCATTTATTAAGGATTATTATCTAGGAAGCAGGCTTTGCTTCCATGTGATTCTCCTTATTATTAAAAAACTTGACAGGTGTAGAAGTTAAAAATTTGTTCATTGTCCCCATGTCATACTAGATATTAGCTCCTTCTCATCATAAGGCATAGACTATATATTATGAAACTATTTCAGAAAGTCACTGACCTTTAAAATAGAGAGTAATGAAAATATTTAAATGAAAAAACTACTTAGTTCTGTTTCTTAAGGGTGTCTTAACATGGATTACTGAGATGCACCTCTGGCTTAAAGTTATTGAATGATTAGCAATAAGATGTCTGACAAAACCCTAAGTAATAGTCCTGTATCCTTCTCAAAGCACTACTTTCAAATCTGCTCTTCTTTAGTGACATAATGTGGGGGGGGGTGAGGAGAATTAATTTTAAAGGTGGTAACTATTGATTACTTAATGGAAAAAGATAGTGTAGATAAATGCTGAAGTGAGTCTATTCTTCTATTCTGTGCCCTCCTGGGCAACAGGACTCATTATCCAGTAGTGAAAATCATGCCCTATCTCTTATAAATATTTAACAGGTAGGAGGCAGACTGAATTTAGGCTCCAAAACTAGCCATAGAATGTTTTAGATATATAAGAGAATAATAGATTGACCTTTGTTCAGATTGTTGACAAGCAGCACAATACTCAATTCCTTTCTGTGATCACTGAGCAATGATGGTGGGAAGGAAATGCCTACTAGGCAAGTTGGAGTGATTAATCTTCTGGGAAGTTACTCTAGGTGAGTAAGTGCTGTATGAGAAGACTTTTGTATTTTCCAGTGTGTATCTCCATCCCAGCCCTTTTCTTCCTCTCCAGGACTTGTTCAGCAGGAGTGACAAGTCAGCAAAAGGTGTTATTTGTGTCTAACACAGCCATCACCCTTGCAGCAATATTCTGTGTCACACCATCTATCAAGTTAATACCAAGATCTTTTTATTTCTGTGCATTTAGAAGAGAAACATGGATTTCTTAAAGATAGCTGGTGGGAAGACATGAGTATGAGTGCTTCTAAGGACTAAGAACTTTTGAAGCTGACTTGAATTAAAATGGGCTGTGGTTTCTGGAAGGACATTAGAGCAGGTCCTTAAACAATATAATTGTAAAAACATACAAGACAAAACAAGACAAAAATTCCTAGCCAGGGCCACTGTCTGTGTGGAGTTTGCACATTCTCCCGAGTCTGCATGGATTTCTTCCCACATCCCAAAGATTTGCACGCTATGTAAACAGGCACGTCTAAATATCCCAGGATGAGTGAGTGAGTGAGTGTGTGTGTGTGCGTGTGTGTGTGCGTGTGCGCGCGCTCACGCATGTGTGCACAGGGGATGGGAAGGTGTGATTGCACCTTGAGATGGGATGACGTCCTGTCATGGCTGGTTCTGTCCTTGCACCTTGAGCTGGGATATGTTCAGATCACCCTTAATCCTGAGCTGGAAAATCAGGCAAATAATTATTTTACCTGTTTTTATTCATGTTTCTTAAATGTATGTATAGCTTACATTTTTTTGATGTTTAATATTATTAAGTGCTTTGGTCTTTATTTAGAAGTTTCATAATGTTTTTGTGTCCAGAAATATGCGATAGGAAGTTAACGCTTGCTTGTATCAGTCTATGGGAAAATGAGTTTCCTTATATCTATTTTTGCTGAAAAGTCCCAGTTCTCAGGAACCTGTCGATGGTATTAGGTGAGGACTTGTTGCCCAAGGTTTTAGAATGCTGACTACCATTAATTTTTAAATTACCAAGTTCTTTTTCTGTTTCTTAAGCTTATTTTTAAAATGATAAACTAAAAATGAGAAATAAATTTTTAGGAAGGACATGTTCTTGGGATTTGTGAGCACACAGAGAATATGACATTAAATGTCCATTATCCCAAACAATGAATAAAATTAAATAGTGAGGAACTATCCATTTTTTATTCAATGATTTTAAAGAATTGTAATATGTGCTTTAGAGAATTGTTTACTTTGCAGCATATTTATAATTACCTGCCTAGAATGAGTTGCATAGTAAAAATTTAGCTTTGTAAGCAAAAATTATTCAAGGCAACAGTCTTCTATTAATATATTGAGCTTTTTCTTAAAACCCGTGAATGAAATTGACCCATAGGTTTCATTGTAATTCAATGTTAAACGTGGAAAAGTTCAGTTTTACTGCCAACTTTAGACCATGCATGCCTAAATGCTGCTTTTCATTTACTAATAGATCTATGTGTGTGCCTTCTCTTTCTGATATCCAGCAGAAAATTTCAAATTATCAAGAGTTAGTGTTAGGAAAGGCGCTTATGTTTATTTTGTTTTTAAACAAACTTGATCATATGAGGCATAGTGATGGATCTACTTAGATGCTTGTTTTTGATTTGTGTGTTTTGTTGTTGTTATTTGTTTATTGACTGGTTGGTTGTTTGGTTAGTAGCACATGCCATTACCTCATGGAAATGAGCTATTGGTTAGCTTATTTCAAGACCCTCAGTTTAGAATTCACATATTCTTCAGCTGCTACTGAATTAACACCAGTAAAAAAAATTCATATCATAAATTTAAAATAATTGAACCTAGACTTTTCTCCAAAGTGCTTAATTAACATTATGCCATAGAACATAGAAAGATATTTTATCAACTGTAAATATAAAAATGTTAATAATAGTTATACCACCAAAGCCTTTGGATATTTCAGAGAGAAGAGCTTTTTAAAACCTGCATTTACAAGAGATAGCACTTGTTAATCCAATATATTTATCAGTTTTGGGCAGTAAAAGTCACAAATTCTAAGTTTTCTCTCTCTTTTATTTTATAGCGCAGTAGCAGTTTTGGGAATTTTGATCGTTTTCGGAATAATTCCATATCAAAACCAGATGATTCAACTGAGGTCAGTATTTTATTCCATTTTTATGAATGTTATATAAATGCATTATGAAATTATGATAACAATATCACTTTTGCAAAGTACAGTAAGAAAAATAAATACATTTTCAAACCATAGCCTCACCTATGTTTTTGTGATAAATGAACACATTTAATACTTAGTACCATGCTGAGCATTAAGAGTTAAGGAGCTATCTATCTAAGAAGCTTATATGACGGGGGGAGCCCCCCAAAACCAGAATTATCATAAAATGCGATATATCAAAGTTTGTGTTAATTGTAGTTGCTTTTAACTGAGTAATGACTAAGTGGCTTGATTGTAAATTTGTTTTGACTGTTCAGTTGTACTCTCACACTTCTACGCACACACTGGAATGTTCCACTGGTGACTACCATGCACACATTTGTAAACTATGAACACTTTAAATGTAGCTTATTAAGATGTTAACAACACCTACATTTAATTGAACACTTGCCATAAAATAAGCATAATGTTAAGTACTTTACCTATCTGTAACATAGAAGTATTAGTATTTCTATTTTACAATTAAAGAAATATGCTTGCTTCATTCAGTAAAGTTACTTCTAAATTACAGAGTGAAAAATGACAAAAAGACAGAATTCATCCTCTCTTCTGAGCTAAAATTTGCCACACTGTTCCAAAAAATAGGGGTCACATGTGATAAGTGTTCAATGAAAGGTACAACAACAAATAAAACAGTAGAAAGAAGGGATGTATGCTGAGAAAACTGAAAAATACATGTTTACTATTGAACCTGATTCAGCAACTTCACAGATATTATATTTTTTTTCTAGGTCAATAGATTTTTTTTCAGATGCATTTATCTGTAGTACTTTAAGATATTTTTATTTCAGTAATTGATATGCTGGACAACATAAAAATAAAATTACGTATTATTACTTTATAAATATCTTCATGACTCCATATATATGCATGTTTGTATGTATAATATATCTCTTCCTATCCATGAATATATTCAGTATCCCTTTGTATTCATCTATGGATAAACTTGTATATAGCTATATGGTCTGTCAACATTTACATAATTGTAAGTAATACCATATAATATACATATATACACATATCTTGAGACAGAAGAGAGAGAAAGAAAAAGCTTTATATAATTTTATTTTTATATGGCATCTTGCATAAATCGTTAACTCTCGATCATACATAGCTGTATTCTACTGTGATTTAGTTTACAATTCTAGAGTTTACCTTTAAAAGATAAATCAGACTCATTTGAGTTTGTTAATTAATAATAGTGGCTTAGTAATTTCTGAAATAATTTAGTGAATGTAAAGTAGTTTACACATTTTTCAAAAATCCAGCATTCATTCAATAAATAACTCTATGACAAGATTTCCATTAGACATTCAGAAAGTATTACAGTAATAACAGATGGAAATTCTTACTTCATGAAGCTTGGAGTCTAGAGGAGGAGACAGATCTTTAAAAGGCAACAACAACAACAAAACCATAAGTAATATCTAAATAAAAATGTGATTCATACTGTGGAGAATAGCATAGAAATATATTATCATACAAAAGATATGGAGATTACTTCTTTGAAGCTTCTGTAGATAATGATTGAAAAACCTGAAAAAATATCTGCGATACTTTCTCTGAAGCTTAGATAATGGTAAGTTAACACAAGGAGTAGTAAAATAACATACTTTCTTATTTATTTTAGTCAGTAAAATAATTGTACAGTGAACACACAGGAAGTTCAAGTAGAAAGAAGGAAAATGCTACTCTAAATTTTTAAAGTGCTTCTAAATTATATTTTATTCAGGGCACTTGAATTAAGCAAAGAATCTTTGCCTTTATAACCTTGAATGTAGAAATTAATAAAGTGCAATGAGGGTTTAAATTAACTGTCTATTCATATTTATCATAGGCAATTTGGGGCAAGATATGAAGCAAAATATAATATTGATTAATAATGATGTTAACTATGTGGTTAAACTTTTACATTAAAATATTCAAGTTCACTAAAGAGAAGTTTCCCATTCTTTTTTAGATTTAGTAAATGACCGACTGTCCACCTTTCAGAAATGGTAGGCAGTACGAAACTAGATAACCTTCAAGTTTCCTTTCTTGTAAATATGGGGTATTGAGGTGTAATCAAAATATGTCCTCCTAGAAAAAAAAAATGGCTTAAAAAAAAATGGTTTCATGATAATTTTTATTTATTCAAAAATATTGAGTACCAGTTATGTGCCTGGAAGTATTCTAGACACTCAGAGTAAAAAAGACACATCAAGTCTCTGGTCTCATGGAGCATGCATCATAGTGGGAGAAGTAGACTAATTAAATGAACAAACATATATATTATCAGGTAATGTTAAGTGCTTAGAAGAGGAATAAATCAGGGTAAACAAGCAAGACGAATGGACGAGTGCAGAGAGTGATCAATCAGAAAACTGCTCTCCTATTAGATGATATGTAAGTAGAAATATGGATGATAGAAGGAAGAAATCTGTGGGTAGCTAGGGGAAGCCAATAGCAAAAGCAAGTACAAACGTTGATGAAAACCTGAAAGAGAAACAGCAAGGGGCCTAGCGTGGCAACACTTTATTACAGTTGTTTTTGAACTTTAATATCTATCAGAATCACTTGAGCTTGTTAACACACAAAACTTCCCAAGTGAGATTGATGCTGCTGGTGGAAGGGCCACATTTTGAGAACAAGGGAGACCTGAGAAGTAGTTAGGGGTGGGTGGTGAGGATATTTTGTTTTATACAGATTCTATAAAATAGCATATATCACATTTATATACTATATTAATTATGTAATATGACTTTATGCTATGTTATAGAGCCTTGTCAGCTGTGAACAATGTGTTTTATTCTGAGTTAGATGATAAGTCATTGGTTTAACAAAATTCCTAAGCACAGACAGAAACAGTCCAAACAAGACTTGATAAGTACAGCATGTGAATTACATGATGATTTCTGTACTAATGACTGGAACCTGGTTCATATTTAGTGTTGTTTGAGAAAGTGGGAAATGTGCATGCATGCAAAGATGAAAACGATACAATTTCTCAGTGAATTTAATTCACACCAAAACTCCTTTAAAATAACCATGACTATCTCGATTTCCATAAGATGCAAGAGGCTATTTTTTTTTCCTTTTTTTTTTTTTTTTTTAAAGTTGGAGTCTCATTCTATCGTCCAGACTGGAGTGTAGTGGCATGCTTATGGCCACCGAAGTCTCAACCTACTGGGCTTAGGCAATCCTTCTGCCTCAACCTTCCAAGGCAAGAGGCTATTTTAATGCTCATTCAGAATGGATACAGCGTTTCTAAATCCTCCAATAAAATATCTCCCCTCTATGAAGACACAATCACTTCTTATGCCTGGTGTTTACCACATTTTGTTCATTCCAAGAACAAGAGGGAATGAAATAGTACTTCAGTATAGCTATTAAAAAATAGCCAAAATTCTGTAATAGAATTTCAGATGTGAGGCTTAGGTCTTGCAACATAAGTTTTACTTTCTAAGTTTGTAACACAAGCAACCAGGCCAGGACCACTTTAGAAATTAGTTATTATGCCAAGATTGTTTGAAATTTTGAAAATCCACAGATTTGAGTTCTCTCTAATAATGTTTTCAGAGCAACGTTTTTGTATTGCTTTGTTAATTTGTTTTTTGTATATAATTCTAAACTAGGTACATGAAGGTGATCTTATAAATGAAAGTGGAGAACAAAGTAAAACTTCAAATAATGGAGGTGGTTTGGGTAAAAAAATGAGAGCTATTTCATGGACAATGAAGAAAAAAGTGGGTAAAAAGTACATCAAAGCTCTTTCTGAGGAAAAGGTAAATATACTCTAATAATTATTTGAATTTTTCTATTAAATCTTTCTTAAAATACTTGACAGGTTCTTCTAGACATGAAAGCATCTATTTTCTCCCTCAGTCATTATGCCTGGAAGTTGGGTGGAAGAAAGTATTATTATTTCTATTTTACTAGAAGAAATCAAGACTGAGAAAGATCATGTATCTAGTATGTGAAGAACAATATGTCATTAATGTTGGAGCATCAGTACTTTTTTCTTTTTATTGCCAAAAATATTCATTTCATAGATAAATCACATTTAATTTATCTATTTATCAGTTGATGAGCATTTGAGTTGTTTCTACTTTTCAGTTATTATGAATAATGCTGCTACAAATATTTGTGTTCAGTTTTTTGTGTGAAAATATTTTTTAATTTCTCTTCGCTATATGGTAACTGTATGGGTGGGACCCCCAAAAACCTGGAATTATTTATTAAAAATGGCATAGTTATTCTTTGTTGTTTTTTTTTTTTTGAGTTGGAGTCTCACTCTGTCGCATAGATTAGAGTGCAGTGGCCGCTCCCAGCCACCGCAGCCTCGCCCTGCTGGGCTCCAGCGGTCCTTCTGCCAAGTATCTGGAACTACAGGCGAGCGCTGCCATGCCCAGCTAATTTTCGAATTATTGTAGAGATGAGATCTCGCCAATTGCCCATGCAGGTCTCGAACCCTCTGGCTCAGGCAATCTACTCACCTCAGCCTCCCAAAGTGCGGGATTACAGGCTGAGCCACCGAGTCCGGCGGCATAGTTATTTTTATATGTTTAAACTTTGGTCACCGTGAGAGTACTCTCCTTTGGATGCAGTACATCTATTGAGATGCTTTTTTCACTGCTCAAAACAGTTTTGAACGTGTCCATTTTGATGTCTTTCAGTGCTTCTGCCATTTTTTGTTTCACCTCTTCCACATCAGCAAAACTTTCCCTTTGAGGACTTTTTCATCCCATTCGTGGAAACAAAAAAAAAAAGTTGTTCAGGCAAGATTGGGTGAATATGGAGGGTGGAGCATGAGGTCATGCTGTTTTGGGTCAAAAACTGCTATACACTTAATGTGGTGTGGACAGGTGCACTTGTAAATCACCCTTCATGGAATGGGCAAAGGCATTGAAAGAATCTCAAAAAAAAACAATAACCCAAAGCCTCTCACAACAACTCTAGCTAGAACACTGATGCTGGTGAGTTACACTTACTTAACAGGGAAAGCCTGTACTACAAGGCGCCCATCCCCCAAAATATAACTCTGGGGTTTTCTTTGGTTCCCCCTTGGTATGTCTAACAGAAAAACTGGTAAACCATTTCCCTGAGCAACTGCACCACTTTACATTCCCACTAGCGATTTATAAGGGTTCCAATAACTTCACATTCTTGCCAACACTTACTATTATCTGTCTGTTTAATGTTAGCCACTCTAGTGGATGCTAGGAGGTCTTTTATTGTGATTTTGATTTACCTTTGTGTTTTTTTTTTTTTTAGATTAGTAAACATAGTTTATTTAGAAAGTAAATTTGAGAGAGAGAAAAGGAGGAGATTCACCTCCCCAAGGTAGGAGAAGGGGCCAAAGCCAGGAAACACGGCCTGGCCATAGCTTAAAGAGCACATGGCCACACCATAGCTTAGCAAGGCCATGACTGCAATGACCTGGCAATGGCTGCGGCAATGGCCTACCTTTGGTTTTGATTTACATTTCCCTGATATCTAATGTTGAGAACCTTTTAATGTGTTTATTAGCCATTTACGTATCTTTTGGGGAGAAATGTTTATTCAAATCTTCTGTCCATTTCTAATTGGGTTATTTATCTTTTTACTGTTGAGTTTTAAATATTTTAAAATATATTTTGGATATAAGCCCGATATTAGATATATGACTTGCAATATGATATATTTTTTCTCATTCTTTGAACTGTACTTTACAATTTTAGAAAATATGAGATTTATTGATAAAGCTCTTCTTCTTGTATTGTTTTTAGCATAGATGCTTCATATTGTCATAGTCCTACTTATCTAATTTTTTTATTTTGTCACTTGTGCTTTTGGTATCCTATTTAGGAAGCTATTATTTAACCTAACAGCATGGAGATTTATTCTTGTTTTTTCAAAAGTTTTATAGTTTTAGCTTTTACGTTTTGGTATATGATACATTGTGTGACAATTTTCTATATAGTATGTGGGAAGAGTTCATCTTCATTCTTTTGCGTGTAGATGTCCAGTTGCTGCAACAACATTTGTTGAAAAGACTATTCTTTCTCCATTGTATTGTCTTGGCACCCTTGTTGAAAATCAATTGACCATAGAAATATGGTCATAACTATATATATATATATATATATATATATATAGTATATATGTGTATATATGTGTATATATAGGCTAGGTTGATAGGGAATCCATATACATGTATAAAACTTTCAGAATATATATATAAAACTTTGAGAATATATAAACATATATATATAAAACCTTGTACCTATATATATTCTCTGTTTTATATACATGTAAATATAAACTCTCATAAAACCTTGTACCTATATATATATTCTCAAAGTTTTATATACATGTAAATATAAATTCCCAATTCTACTCTGTTGATTTTTATGTTTTATGCCCATTTTCTTTTTTAATCCACTTCAATAGGGTTTCTGTCCCCAATACCTCATTAAAACAGTTGTCACCAACAATAGTAATCTCTGTGTTGCAAGAGATCACAGTGGTCACTTTTCTTTCTTTTTACTACTTTTCAGCTCTATTTGACATACTTGGTGATTTCTTTACATGTGAAACACACTCTGTCTTGATTTTTTTGTTTTTTGACTGTGTATTGTTTTGACTCTTCTTGCTCATAGCTTCTTTTTTTTTATTGGCTCTGCTTTCATTCTGATTCCTCTAAATATTGAGTCATCCTGAGGCTTATTCCTGGATGCTCTACTCATGTACTCTCTTCTCCCTAAGTGATCTCATCCAGTCTCACGACTTTTTTTTTCACAATTACATCTCTAGTCATGACTTTTTCACCTATTTGTTGTACTTATACAATCAATTGCTCATTTGATATAATCACTTATATGTCCACTAGGTAACTGAAGTCTAATATATCCAAAGCAGAAAAATTTTATAACCATATGTGCTAAAAACAATTTTTTTTAAAAGAGAGGAAGAAAGAAAAGAAAACCTAAGAACCATTCTAAAAAACTTCTCTCTCACACTTCTCACACTAATTCATCAGCATATCCTCTTGGTTTTAATTCCAAAGTACCTCTAATTTCTCCATGTAAACTTTTCCTGCTTTAGACAAAGTTGCTAATCTCTCTTGCCTGGAATTCCATAATAACCATCAGATTGCTTTCCATTCTTTTACTCTGTCCCCCATAAAATTCATTCTTCACATGAAAGCCAGAAAGATTTCTGAAAAGTAGAAAACAGGACATAATACTCCCTTGGTAAAAATTCCACTTTTCCTTCATGGTAGAATCATTTACTATCATGTGCTCATTCCAGTCCTCTGAAAAGCACACCTCAAGAAAGGGATAAAAACACCAAAGATGTATTGGGGGAAATATCTGTGAATGATAAAGAAGAGAAAGCTTTTAGACTGCCATGCAGGTCTGTTATTTGTAAAAGGAAAAGGAAGGGGAATCAAGTAGAAAGAATATCAGGCCGGGCTCGGTGGCTCAGCCTGTAATCCCGCGCCTTTGGGAGACTGAGGTGAGTGGATTGACTGAGCCCGCGGGTTCGAGACCCACCTAGGCAGCAAGACCTCATCTCTACAATAAATGAAAAAATCAGCTGGGCGTGGTAGCTCATGCCTGTAATTCCAACTACTTGGAAGGCTGAGGCAGAAGGATCGCCGGAGCCCAGCAGGTTGAGGCTGCGGTGGCCGGAAGCGGCCACTGCACTCCAGTCTGGGCGACAGAGTGAGACTCCAACTCAAAAAAGAAAGAAAGAAAGAATATCAGACCTCAACTCAACTATGAGACAGCTTTGGCTGGGTTGTTGGAGAATCCTTATACCAAAGTTTTTCATTAAAAGAGCACTGCATCTTACTAGAATGAGCTCAGATGATACACCCACCTTTTCAGTCACTGGTGGGGAGCATGGTTTTGGTGCAAACCCAGTGGATACAGAGGAGCAGTCCTGGGACTGTCAGTAAAGAAGGGTCTTGTAGTAAGAGATCTAAGGAGACACATTCTATGGTCACCAAACATGATTGATAAAGCTCTTCTTGATCTGGCTTCAGTCTACTTTTTTGAAATTACATACTAATTTCATTTTTCTTGCTACATTGACTTTGTTTTCCTTGCACAGCTCAAGCTAATTCTGAGTTCAGTTATTTTGCTCTTGCTGTTCCTTTTGTCTTAGAAAACTGTCTCCAAAGTGTCACATAAGTTACAACTTGTTATCACTCAGGTCAATGATTCAGAACATATATTACCTTATGGGAGAGGTCTTCAGGGGCTACTCCATCTAAATCACCCAACATTCTCCTGGGCCTAATATCAGTAGCTAATTTTCTAACATTATCCAATTGTATCTTCTTCATAGCAATTTTCTTTAAAATTGTCTTGCTTATTTTGTTTACCACGTCTCTCTAAACACTCTATATACACATACACATAGCCTAACACTTTAAAGTATACTTCATTAGCGCAAAGACCCTGTTATCCTGTTGACCATGGTAATCTCCGGTTCTTAGAACAGTACCCAGTGCCTAGAAGGTGTTCTATAATCTTGTGTTGGATGACTAAATGAATGCATATAGTGGATAAAAGCAGAAAATCAAACTAAATGCATATTGCATATATGTTCTGAAGTTTTATCCGTGTTTAGAAATGCTCAAAAGTGAGTAATATTGAATTATGTTATGATTAAATATTAAGAAATTTATAGGTTTTGCTCGACATATCTAAATGTGGAAAACATTTGAGATGTTTTCAAGGAAATGTAATTTGTTTTGAAGGAGTCTGCCTTTTCTAATTTTATGCAAGATTTGCTTTTCAATTGACTAGGTGGCAAGCATGGTATAAGATTTTTAAATCTTCTTAGATAAGCTTTGCTTTAGAATTGCAAAGTATGCATCTTTTATTCATATCTAGTCATCTGGTAGGGTGCAAATAAGTGACATGAAACAGAGTTTACACTTGTAACAGATCTCAATGGATTCGTAATGGTGGTAAATAAATGATCAGGAGAACATTTAAAAAGTAAAAGTGCTTTGGCAAATAAAGTATAGATGTCAATAAATCTAACATTTCTGATTAAATAGTCTTGATATGATAGTCATCCTAATTTGCAAAAGTGAACCATTATAATTTCAGTTGAATTCCACAATGAGGAATGTCTCATTTAAAGAATTTTTCCAAGTACACTGTAAAGTGTTTTGCCAGAAATTGAAGAAAAGATGAATGATTCTCATATTTTATGCTAACGTATTCTTAAGGTTTTTTTGTTTTTTGTTTTTTTGCTAAAATACATCTTGTTTACTAAATCAATGTATATAGTGAATATCTTTATGGAAATCTGCTCTCTGCACTTAACTTCTGATATGTTTTCTGAAGGATGAGGAAGGTGGAGGTGATACCCTCTCATATCGGAACAGTGACCCTATGATTGGGACCCACACAGAGAAAGGCTCCCTCAAGGCCAGTGACTCCATGGATAGTCTCTACAGTGGGCAGAGCTCATCAAGTAAGACCAATGAATAAGGGACGCGATTCTGGATGTGAGGTTTGGGCTAAATTAATTAAAAACAAGTTTGCATCAAATTAGCAACAAGGTTCCAACTACTTAATAACAGAAATGGTGAAAATGTCAGGTGTAGTCAATCTACATGAAGTTGCTGTCTTTTTAATGGTACATAATATACAGTCTTTGACATAATTGTGCATTGTTTTGAAGCTTTTAACACTATAGTGAGCAGGGCTTTTGAGGATATGCCTCAAAAATGTCATGTTGGGCAATGAAATCTGCATTCCCTAAAATAAAAATCTATGCTGGGGAGAAATGGCTTTATCTTGAGTCAAAATAGTTAAAATGACTTGATACTCAGATAAATTAAATCTTGTTCTCTCTCTTTCTCTTCCTTCCTCCCTCTACCCTGCCTCTCTCTCTCCCCCTTTCCTTCCCCATTCGTCTCTTTTCCTTTGCTTTTCTTTTATTCCTGAAGTACCCTAAAAAGTTCAGAACATTTGCATCAATTCTGAAATCTACATTTTAGGCCTTGACTCAGCACTAGTGAGTAAAGAGTGAAGCAATATGTAAATAATGAAGGGTAGAATGTCACCAACTAGGTGGCCAAAAGGAATCAGCAAGCCACTAACAAGGATGTTCTAGTGAACAGAGATATTTTTCTAAGAAGGAAATCACTCCAAATTTAGTAACATTTCCTGCTATGATATTTGGATGAAACTATTGATACTGCAGGATGCTTTATTACTTTTTATATGTAGACTGTTACCCATCCCTCTAATCTTTTGTGGATTTTTTAATGTTTTTGCGAAGTTTATTTTCCATTTCCTTTTAACCAACTGCTTCTGTTATTTGAAGATAGATTATAAAGACCAGATGTTTCAAGTATCCTAAGTTTTACTCCTACTTTCCTACTGACTGCAGAATAGTTATTTTATGACAAAAGCTAATGCAGAGGCATTTGAAAGCGTTCTTGTTGCATGTGTGAAATTCAGATTTCATTAGTATTCATTTCTGCTGGAAATTTCAAACTTCGAAATTGAAAAGTTGAATGTGGGGAGAATTTTATTAACTAGCATATACCATGAAAAGACCTGGCCTGGAATAGTTGGAAAGAAAAGGTGTGAGGAGACGGTGGCTCATTTAATTGCTGTCATATACAACTTAATTGCTGTGATTCCGCAACTCACTTGTCTTTGACACAAGTTCATGTATTATATGGAGTATCTCGAAGGATCTCATTTTCACAGTGGATGGTAGAGAAACTTGGGCTTTTCCCTCATTGCACAGAGTCCCAGAAAGGCAGATGAAAAGAGGAAGTGAAGTGATGACTGAGGGGTGGGGGAGAGGAATTACTTCCATTGGGAACCATTCTTGCCCCCAGGCAGGCAGCGAAATGGGATTTATTTTCTAATTTTTTTCCCTGAAGGTCAACATCATAAAGGAAGAGGGCAAGAATATAAGGATTTGGGGTGGTTGTAACATCCTGATTTCGAATAGTTTCGAATCACTTTGGGGCACAGACTAGCTCCTTCCGTTACAGTATCATACAAGAAGCAAAAAGTGACACTCTTTCATGTGCAGAAAAGTTGCCTGAGAGTGGCCTTTGGTAAACTGTAGAACTCTGGGGAAGAATTTTTCTACTATTGTGGTAAGTTATAGGGAAGCTTGCAGAGTCATGCTCTGACCATTTGTGATCAATAGCACTCAAAGATAAAACTGTTGCTTTCGGTTTCTGCCTTTGTTTACATGTACAAAATTAATTGTCTGACTTGGCCAGGGGTTAAACCTACACCTTCGTCTTCTTTAGCAAGTGTTCAATGCTTAATATACTGTGAACTGGATCAGATCACAGAGACTGAAGTGAGAGGGTGTTTGGGTTACTAGTTGAAGGGAATGGCCAGACTGGCAGGAAAAGGGTCAGAAATGGCTCAGAGGACAGAGGTCAGTGATGGAGAGCAACTGGGAGACAGATACTAAGATCAAGCAATTAGAACCCCTTCATGAGGCTGGCATTCAATGCTCCAGTGTTATCAATACTTAGTTGGCTCCAGACAATGGATAAGAATGTTATGAGCCTTCAGTAACAACTGTGAACCTCTGCTTTCGTCAGGTGGAATAACAACCTGTTCAGATGGTACAAGTAACCGGGACAGTTTTCGGCTGGATGATGATGGCCCTTACTCAGGACCATTCTGTGGCCGTGCTAGAGTGCATACTGATTTCACACCAAGTCCCTACGACACTGACTCCCTCAAAATCAAGGTGAGAGAACATCATATCCACCTTCTAAATGGTTTTGTCAAGCACTAGTTTTATGATCTGTTTCAGGACATATAAGCAGTGGGAAACAAGGGTGTGCATGTGTTCTTCCCAACAGTAGGACTGGGAACTGATTTACTGTGCCCAGAATTTACATAAAACATGTGAGAGGGGGTAGGGGAATCAGTCTGTTTAGATCATTATCATAATAGCTATTATATAGATAATACAGGCTTACCTGTCTATCAGAGAGAAGGAATTGTCTACATTTTTCTGAAAACTGAAAACTTCACAAGTCACTGGAGGTACCCAGCTCTGCCCCATATTTGCAGGAGTAAAACTCATGAAGCCAAGGAAATGAGAGTCCTAGGAATGCAGTCTTTTTTAACTTTAATATTTAAAGTAAGATTGCCAATGTAGTCTTTTTTTACTTTAATATTTAAAGTAATAATGATGAGACCTCTTATATGTATGGAAGGAGTATACTGTGAGCACAAAATAACTTTGTGTTCTATAAATATAAGGTGATAAGTTGATATGATAACAGAAAAGTAAATGTGTCTGTTTTTGTAGGAGTTTTTTTGTCAAGCATGTTGAAGTTTTCTTCATTATTACAAGTAAATTATTTACTTGAGTTTTTAGATTTATTTCTGTTGTCTCTGAACCCCTTTAACACAATGTCCTCATTATTCTAGTTTTCTATGATTTCATTCTTTCTATTAATTCTTAGAGCACTTTAGTTCTCTGAAATCTGATTTATATATATTTCTTTGCCCTTAGAAAGGAGACATCATAGACATTATCTGCAAAACACCAATGGGAATGTGGACAGGAATGTTGAACAATAAGGTGGGAAACTTCAAATTTATTTATGTGGATGTCATCTCAGAAGAGGAAGCAGCCCCCAAGAAAATAAAGGCACACCGAAGGAGTAAGAGGGAAAAACCCAAGACTCTGCAAGAGTTCTTAGAGAGGATTCACCTTCAGGTTAGCACCGTATACCCTGTTTGGTTTTGGTGACCTAAGAATGGAATAATTGAGGAGCATGAATCGCTATTTGTATAGTTTTGTTTAAAAATACAAGACTTACAAGCAAAGGAAAATCTGTTTCCCTAGAACACCTCTCATCTCTCCTTTATTACTTTTATTTTGCAAGGACTGGTCTTGATGCAATATCCCTTATACTAAGCCCTAATGGTACTTAGCAGTTGCAGTAGAGATTAATGCTGAGAAAGTACAGTGGAGAAAGTGCCTAGGAGAATAAAAGGCCCAAAGAAAATGTCTAAATGAGAATGATAGAGTATGAAGGATAAAGTAAAAGTCCAGAGAACTGAAAGAAAAAAATGAAAAGAGAATTGTATTTTCTACAGAGCAGAGATCAAAATAAAGTTGAGAGAAGATAAACAAATATAATCATCTTTAAGGTAACTTGTTAGAAAACAGTGATCATTAAGTTCCATAATAATTGTGTTAAATAAACATTGTGTTGTCTCTATATACAATCCAATTATTTACTTGTTTGTTTACACAATTTTTATGAAATAGTTACCTTGTTAAGTGGTGTGCACATACAATATGCCTAGTCTCAATCAATTTACAGTTTTGCATTCCATTTCTAAAATGAACTCTGCAGTACTTTAATAGTTTTCAAAAAATCATCAAGACAACACTCAAATTTTCCTTAATTTTTTTTATATACCTAGTTATGTTCTTGACTGTAGACACACTAACTAAGCCTTCCTATGTTATTATGGGTACACCCCAATGGGATACTCTGGAGAAAGTACAGGCTGGAATCTTACCTCTGCCACTCATTTGCTCTGTGACCTCTAAGAGAACCAATATCTAAGGAAATGAAATGACTTCCCTGAGAACCCATAGATAGATGGATATGTCAAGGGGACTTTTTATATATTCTCATCTCTATTTCAGCACTCATTTAGAATATGCTTTTTAAAAACAAATGGTTACACCTCTAGCTTTCCATATTTTGCTGTTGTTAAAGTGGGCTGGTAATAAGTTCTTCCTGATTACTTAAAACGTTTAGACTTCCTCTTATTTTGTTTAAGTAACTAACATAAGAATAATGAAATTGTGATCTGGTAAATGGGAGAATTTGGGGGGAAAGTAAAACAGCATCTAATTCACTTTACATTTTTATTCTGTTACAGAGAGCAGAGGTTACAAAATAACATACAGACTTCAAAATCAGAAGCCTATGAATTTTAAACTAGTCTATATTGGTGCAAATGATGAACAAAATATATATACTGAAAAAAGAAAATAACTCTTTTTCCAGCTATAGTATTTTTAGGTCTAATAAAAGATTTTAGTTAAATAGAAATGTCTCGCATTCCTTAGGTCTATATAATAACTTTGACCCAAAATGCTACAATGATTTTTTATATAGGATTGTGTCTGTTTCAAATTCATTTTCAAACTTACCCGATAGTTAGTGAGAATAAATGTTTTTGCAATCAAGAAAAAAAGAAGAGATGTAGACTCAAAAATTACTGTATATACTACTCTGTTAGAGGCATTTTACTGAGACTTAAGGAAACCCAAGATCTGTCATTTTAACTGCTTAAGAAGTAAAAAAAAGTGCCAAATGGGATGAATGATCCAGCTTTTTAATTTATCCATGATTTAGAATTGTGCAGCTTAAGATAACTATTTATTCTTTACATTTGTTCTTCCAGAAGGTGAGAATTATACCACGTACAGTAATCTTTTATGTGTCCTAAAGTTCATAATTAAGAAACTAATACAAGTAAAGTTAAGCAAAAGTTTTGTTGACATCTTTGATTTCCATATGCATTTCTTCACTTTCTTTAAGTCTAAAGAGAACTAAAAGTAAAGTATTTGAATCTGACTAGTTTGTATTATACACATTTTTTTCTCTCCCACAGGAGTATACCTCAACACTTTTGCTCAATGGTTATGAGACTCTGGAAGATTTGAAGGATATAAAAGAGAGTCATCTTGTTGAATTAAACATTGAAAACCCAGAAGACAGGATGAGATTACTATCAGCAGCAGAAAGTCTCCTTGATGAAGACAGTAAGTGTGTTCACCTACTCTCCTTCCTGCTGATAATCACAGTTTGAATGTAAATAGAAAATCATTAGAAACAAAGCTCTAGTTGTATTAACTGAGAATCATAAAAATCATTCTTTCCCATATGAAGTAAGGATTTTCCAAATAAGTAAATTTGGAAACAACCACTCTGGTCAAATATATAATTAGGAAGAGAAACTTTATTTCTTATTGGGACTTTAGGAAATGAAATGACTTTTCTGAGTACCTTATTACAATTCTGCAGAGCTATTAATTTGCACACAAGTGGATGCCTGCATTCCCAAAGACTGAGGAAGTTAGAGACAAATATTTAGTAAGAGTGTAAGCCATTAGTGAGAAATGTCACACATGGCTTCTGTAGAATAACAGAGCATGGCTCTAAACTAATGAGCTTTCCACCACATGGGAAAATTTATTTCGTTACCATATTGTCACATCTTGTATGTGTTTATAGTACTCTTTCAAAATGTTCTAATAGCTTGCAGAAATATTCAGCACTCACTTTTATTATCTGAACTGGTCCTCTGTATTTGTAAGTATACACTAAAGATGAAATAACACATGCAGATTCACAGCATATTGGCTACACTAACTGGGTTTGTAAAGATAGGATAGCTCTTATTTTTATAATTCCCCTTACAGACCACCCTTTCTAAATCTGATCAGGCCCACAAACCCTCAGCTCAGGGTATACCAAACTCTGCAAGGAGTATTTTATGAGGGAAAAATAAATAAATAAATAAAAGGTGGGAGAGTCCAACTTTAAAGATGAAAAGGAACTTAGGTCACCGAATTCAGCCTTCCCATTCAAAAACAATACTACTAATAATTATTAGCAACTTTGTAAAAATATGTGCTCTGAATGAAATTTGGGGATTATTTCCCTCTTAAGTACTCCCTGCTGCTCTGTGGTTACTCCCCATTTGTATCATGAGAAATGGAGGCGATGATCACTTAGTAATTGTAGAGTTGGGAGTCTAACCTGCTGTTTGTGCTGCTATGCTATACTCTCTAACACTACAAATAACAGCCCAGATGGACAGTGAGGAGGAAAGCTGTATTTAGGACCCAGGCCTCCTGACTGTCCTTTTTGGGCTATCCTATACAGTCTCATGAGTCCCTCAAAATTGGGGCATGGCATATGTTTACTATACACTGACTTTTTATCCAGTAGGAATTAATTTACTATTTTAGAAACTGTTCTTTATTCTTATTTGCTGTCTTGTGTTCGCATAAATCTTCATCCTTTTCCAAGAGCTTTCACATGCATGACTAATTTAACAGTAGAAGAACTGGTTTCATCGTTTGAAATTTGAATATTTGAAAGTTGAAGTTTTCCGCTACTTCACCAATTTTCTCAAGGGCTTTAATTCAGTTTTCTATCTCAGGAAGTAAATGGTAAGAGGCTATTGTGACTGTCTGGCTACCGGGTTTGTGAAGAGAAAGGGCTGGGAATCTCAGCAAGCAATGTTTTCAGCGATAACACGATGTCCAGGAGACTCACAGAGGAAAGATAGGTTCAATGCCAAACACTTATGTTACCTTATGTTTTTCCATTCCACCTTCCTTATCGCCCATCTACCTTCTATGTTAACAAAAGAATAATGATTTATAGATGATACAATATGAGAACTGGGTATAATTTTAAAGACCACCTGATGAAATTTCTCCTTTGCAAGATGGGAAAACTAAAACCCAAGTAGCTAAGTGGCTTTCTCAGACTCACCTGACTACAACTCAGTCTCCTAAATTTATCAGAATCATTTTCTGGCAGGGCATGGTGGTTCAATCTACAATCCCAGGACTTTGGGAGGCTAAAACGGGCAGATTGCTTCAACCCAGGAGTTTTGAGACTAGCCTGGGCAGCATAGTGAGACCTCATCTTCACAAAAAATTTAAAAAATTAGCTGAGCATGGTGGCATGTGCCTATAGCCACAGCTACTCAGGAGGCTGAGGCGGGAGGATCACCTGAGCCCAGGAGGTTGAAGCTGCAGTGAGCTGTGATTGCACTACTGCACTTCAACCTGGGTGACTCCAGTGATACTCTGACCAAAAAAAAAGGAAAACAGACACAACATGTTCACATATTCTACTCTATCTTGGTCTCTGAAAACAAAACACAAAAAGACTTTCCATATTTGATATAAAAAAGACAAATCCCAGAAAGCATTCCCCTGTATAAAACTTTAGAAAATAGTACTTGAAGGTCACTAGAAGTTGATCACTTAATAATAACGAGTAAGGTACAAACATACATACACAGAGCCAAATTCTAGAAAATGAAAAGTGGAAAAAATGCAGATCCAACCAGGGTTTCTTGTCAACACACTACCCAGAGATTTTTCTTATTTTAATCTTGTGGTCTAAAGTAGTATTAGAATATACATATCAAAAAGATGCATATTGCATGTTAGACTGTTCTGACTGAAAGCTATTTATCTTATATAAAACTGCTTTGCTCAAGAAATAAAGAAGAATGACTTCCATTTGTTGATAAGATGGTGAGTTCTGATGATTTGGCATCATGCTGGCTGCATGCTTATTTTTATTTATTCTCCACTCTGTGAATCTTATCTTCTACAGCCATGCTAAAGATTAAATGCACAACCTTCATGTACCTTGAATGATAAAGACCTTGAATATATAGTTATATAAAACTGAGACATTATTAAAAACAAATGCATGTCACAGTCATAGGTTAAAAATAGTTAGCTTTTAAAAAAAAATTTTAAAGAAAGGAGTATCTCAAATGGCCAGGATATTATTTGTGCGTTTTATTTTGAACATTGAATAATGTCAGTTTGGGGAACAGCAATAAACTACTTTGAAGTTTCATTATTTGTTAGGGTGGGAACTTGGAAGTTTTGCTTTGCTAATTAATTACAAAAATTGAACAAACTGAGCACATGTCTTGAGGATAAGAACTAAAACTCTGGTTTAATATGGAGACAACCACACATTCAACGTGAGCCTTTAATATATCTGGAGAGACCAAGATGATGGGGGTTTGGGACCTGGAAAACAAAACAAAACAAAACAAAACAAAAAACAGACATCTACGATTTAGAGCAAGCAGTTTTCCTTTTCTCTTAGCCCAAGATAGATAACATTGTACCCACTTTGACCTTGAAGATATAAATGGGATTAAACTTTTTAGGTCACTGCTTGGCAGGAGGTAAAGACGCTTCTCCAACAAGCTTATAAAAGGGCTGGCATGTGGCATTAGAGCTGATCACAGGATTACCTCTGGAGGAGGATAACGACTTTGGGGTCCTGCGATCCCAGCAAGACCAGCAGAGATACTTGGAATTTGCTCCTGTGTTGCATTAGAACTGAGCCGAATTAGGTCACTGGTTCCCTCAACTGCGAATCTAGATAAAGTTAGAAGGAGAAGAAAAATTGGGATGAGACCCAGGTTTTGAAGGAACAAAAGAGCATAATCTATTTATTTTGTGCACATTAGGATTTCTCTATTTATCATTTGAATTTAAAAATGGTTTGTTTACTTTGGGAATAATAAAAATTTCCAACAAGTAAAAAAAGAGAACAAAGAATATGTCTGTGTGTGTTCCATAAACACAACATTCAAGGCCCCTTTACCTTATTTCTGAAATAAGATCGTTTACTGTTATTTATAGTAAACATTTTCTCTTTATTTGCACTTGTTCCTCTTTTTCCACATTTAGAAGCAATTCAGTGTGTCTTAAAATTGTGTTTACGGAAATGTGTACTATTGTCCTTAGGGAAAAAATGAGTGCTGGAAATACCTTGTTTCCCCTAGAGTACAGGGATAATTATATTTTAAATTGCAGAAAAAAATTAGAATAAGCAAACTTTGCAGAATCTGTAGACGATATATTTCAGGTACCTGCAAACTCTGGTTGCAGTGCCAAGTGAGGAGGAAGGGGAGAGGCAGGTTGTGTGCCAGAATGCTGACACCAGCTGTGGTCACAGCAGCCCTTATTGCTCAGCCATCCCCAGTTGTGCCTTCCTGCCTGCCCGCCTGCCCAAATCGATGCAGGGCAAACGTCGGGGCCCAGCCAGGAGCCTGGAACATGAGCTGCCAGCAGGGGAGATCTGTAGTTCTGCCAAGCAGCAGTCCAGCAGTTGGCCTTACGGTGTGCCAGGGTAGCCTGGTACCCTAGCCTCTGACATGTGTACCTGGGGTTTCCAACCCATTTGCCATATGATATGAATCTAGATTCAGGAAATATACAGCTTTTAAGAAAAGACATGTTCACCATCCACATATACAAAGAAAAGAAGGCATGCAGGGCTTGTACCTGTATTTATAAATATTTGCATTTAAAAAATATCTATATCTAGTCATAGTTCTTTGTCTTTATGAAATTTAGTGTGTTCAGATTTCTTTGTATTATACCACCTAAAATTTCATTTATGATAAATGCCATATTCTATGTAATACAAGAAAAAAAACACAATAAAATGAAATATAAGCATTTTTATTCGTCTACCAGAAAATTCCTAAAGAAAACAGTCCATAGACTTTTCACTTCACTCACCTAAGGACCTTTGTGACTTCTGTACACAAAACACTTTTCTACTGCTAGTGTTTCTATTGCGTTGTGACTGTGACTGTGTACTAGACATAACTATGTAATGATTATTCTGGCCAAAAAAGACTGAGTCTTCTTTTTTTTTTTTTTTTTTTTTTTTTTGTTGGAGTCTCACTCTGTCGCCCAGACTGGAGTTCAGTGGCCGCTCCTGGCCACCACAGCCTTGACCTGCTGGGCTCTGGCGATCCTTCCGCCTCAGCCTTCCGAGTAGCTGGAATCACAGGCATGCGCTACCATGCCCGGCTGATTTTTTGATTTATTGTAGAGATGAAGTCTTGCTGCCCAGGCGGGTCTCGAACCCGTGGGCTCAAGCAATCCACTCACTTCAGCCTCCCAAAGGCGCGGGATTACAGGCTGAGCCACCGAGCCCGGCAAGGACTTCCTTTTTTTTTTGAGTTGGAGTT